TGTTTTGCGAAATTGAGAGCAATTTCAAATCTGTTCAGTTTTTTTTTATACACCCTGTATATACTGGCAATGCAATGCTTACAAATCCAAGGTTACTTTATTTGTACATATTTTGTGATTAATTTAATATGCAGTATGGTGGATTGGTGGCATATATGTTTTATTTATATATTTATAACTTATTTACTGAGACCGAGGGAAACAGTGTGTTTTGTGGACCCGAGACCGTCGATGTCTCCCGAGGCGAAGCCGAGGGAAACATCGACGGTCGAGGGTCCACAAAACACACTGCTTTCCCGAGGTCTCAGTAAATAAGTGTTTTATTATATATCAATAGTCAAAGAAACAACAAATTAAAGAACAAATGAACGTAAATACATAAAATATTTTATTGTTAAAACGTTATATTAAACACTGGCTACACTGCAGTTGCTTAAAGCGAAAGTTTTAATTACGATGTCCAAAGGTCGCATCTTCACGTGATGGCGCACGTTATTTCTCTGTTATTCGCCGGTCGATAACGTATTATCTCCCTCTCGAGCTATTGCGAGGGAGACAGCCTAATTTCGTCACTCTCACGTGATATGCTCTCAACCTATAAAACACTAGAAAAATGCGACTTTGACTATTGATATATAATAATCAATATTATCCTTATTATTCTGTCAAATAATTACTGCATGGGTAAAATTAGGATGTATTTATATGGAAGTAAGCCATCTTCATATTGAGATGTGTTTTGAGATGATCTTAATTCAGGTTCACAGTCAGTAAATCTTCTGTCGGCAAATATTTCTTCTGCTGGGGGGTGATGACTACGTGAGAAACGTGCAAAAGGCGTGTAAGCATATACTTGTGAAAACCGATTGCGTGCAAGCCCACTCATTTGAATCCGTCAGGATAAGAAAATCATCAACAAAATCGCTAACTGTGAATCAGCCTTTAGAGGCAGGTTGTCAAGAAAAAAGTCCCATTATGGAGCAACATAACATCGAGCCATTAAACACTTGAGATCATGTTGCAACCATACTGTATGTTACACTCATGTGCACTTAAACAATCATGGAAATGGAGGAAATATCATGTAAGTCTACAGCTAGATTACTGATATAAATATTCTTATTATCGGTGCATACAAAGGGGGTGATTACCCCCTCCCCCAAATAGTTCCTGAAAGTCATTGAATGGTGGCTGAATAACTACATGTGTAACAAAGCTGTAAATATGATTTTACTATTTTACATCTATTGGAAAGTTATAAATTGGTAGGATATACATTAAGCAAATTTGCAAGAAATGTATATTTATGTTTAACCCATTGAGTCGCTGTGTGTCCTAAAGAGGCTTAAAGTGCCGTACTTTATTATTTTACTCTGTCTAACACCAGATGACTTTACTTGGGAAGGGGAGAGTGCTGGCTCTCAATAGGTTAAGGAATTGAGATTTCTGGCAACTGGGTGGTAATATGGTAGTCACTAGGGCTGGGTGATATTAAAAAAATCAACTCACGATTATTGTCGAGGAAATTATCACGATATTCGATAATATCGCGATAAACGCAATACAAACAATGACCACATTTTTCAATTTTAATTAATGTCAAAGCATAGTAAGCTTATATATAATCTCGAATATTTACTGTTCATAACCTGAACAAATGCCATGGGCACACAGCGCAAGCAGAGCCTGCATGCGATTTCATTGCTCCGTCGCCAGCTTACTAACTTATACCAAGACTTACCGAACTTACCAAGGCTTACTAACTTACCAAGGTTTACTAACTTACCAATGATTACTAGATTACCAAGGATTACTAGTGTACCAAGGATTACCAGATTACCAGTGATAAGTATAGGGATTATTAGGATGTATAAAAGTTAGAATAGTATATTGGTGACCGTAACACCAGGAATTAACCAATATATCGTATTAAATTCGTATTTGATTCAGGAAATAGTTTTAGTTCTTTTAAAAACTACATTTTCTAGAAATTGAAGGATTTTTTTATGATTTTTATAAAAGCTATATACACATGCGAAGAAATATTACGATAGTCCACGAGCATGACGATAATTTCGATAGATCGTCGCTCAAGTTTCTACCTTCGATACGATAATCGTGACTGAAAATATCGCGATAAATCAAAATATCGAACTGAATATCGCCCAACCCTAGTAGTCAACCACATCCTCCCCCATTGTCTTATAAGCTGTTACTCAAAGAACCATGTAGATATTGGCCATCCAAGCAAATGATAATGATAGTTCACTCAATTACTGTTGTCATAATACACACTCAAATACCACATTCTGTGCTACATTACTTTGTCTAGTTCTTGGATAATTTTACTCATCATTGGAAAGACCTTGCACACTAATGGGTTAATTTAACATAGATTTCTTTAACTATGTTGCAGAAAAAGTGAAGTAACATTATGCAAATTAGGTAAATGCATGAATTAAGCATGCGTAAAGGCATTGGTGCCAAGAGTTATAGTATCAGCGCCTATTTGAAGGACATAGAATTCAGCAATTTTTCTGATATTTGGACCATTAATAAAACACATAACAAATTTCTCGTCCATCAACTCAAAATGCGTTTTAACCTTTTAAATTTCATGTGCAAGCTATTTTAATGCTGCTAAAAAAGACTCCCTCCTTGTTTATTTTACATTATGAGTATCCAAACAATCTATGGTTATCAAATATTTAATGGCATAAACGGATTTGTGAAATTGACAGCCGTTTCAAGTTGTTTACTTTTCTGATTCACCTGTTGCGAATTAATGGAGCGTTCACTTGGCTTAAAATTGCCTTTGCAAAGTCCTTGTCTGATACTGCCATGTCAGTTTTTGAAAATATGATCATACAGAGGCAGTAACTAACGAAGGAATGCATAATGCGCATAATTACGAATTCCACACGTCGATGTTTACCTTAGCGATGGTAATTGGCTTACAATTCAATCGTACTATCCTACCCAAACTGTTGATATATTTAATATCACTTTTGGTGGCACCAAAAGCAAATGATGGTGGCCATACTTCACCGTCCATAGACCGAAATATGAGGAGAAAATACGCCTCTCAAATTGCAGGAAATGGTGTTTCCGGGCTTCAAATTTCAAAAATTTTCCGGGGGGGCATGCGCCCGGACCCCCTAGTTCTGCGTGGTTTAGGAGCCACGGTCAGTTTTGGGTTGGATCCGCCCCTGGTACTGAACCGAATTTTAAGTTTCCCTTGTTACGGCTTGAAATGCAGGCGTTGTATAAAGCCTGGTTCACATATATACCGGCGACGATACCGGTGCTAGCTTTAAAATGTAAATTATGTGAACATTTGCTCGCCGATTGTCGCCAGTGCCTCAGGTACATGGGCGGTAGGCCGGGAAAGTTGAGTTGAGTTCAACTTTGCCGGTATTTCGGCGGCAAGTAGAGGCATAATGATGCAGTCGCAGGCATGCCGCAGGCATATGTGAACCAGGCTTAAGACGTGAAAATCTGTCATTTGCCGTTGTAAACAGAGCGACGACTATACGTCTGAAACTCGCCTGGGATTTTAATTATTTCTTTCTTTTCATTGACTCATTGTATTGGTTGCCGTCGTCGTCGTGTCGCCGTCCTACATGCTTTAAAAGCTCCCTAATATAAATACGCTCGACCTCGGCATGTTGCCTCTGGACTAGGAAAATTTCAATTTTATTTTATTATTTACTATTTATTGGGCCATGTAAACCTAACTCTATCGCGATATAATAATACAAGAATCAGCTAGCTGATATAGACTGCGAGCGGTCCCCCCTTTCCGCGGGTTATATCGCTATTATCGCGATATAATAATACAAGAATAAGCTAGCTGATATAAATCAGCTGCTGACTTTATAATTTTATATCAAAACTATCCACTGGCACTTATTCATGTATACATCGCTCCGTGTCTTTCATAGATAAACCACTGTGCTATAATATACTATCAACCTCAGATGTAATATACTCTAGTCTACACGATTTCAGCATTTCACACCGCCGCTCAATAGCGCTTGTCCATGTTCGCCATTGTAAACTAATAACATATGAGAGCACGTGTATTATGCACGTGCATTTATGTTGCAGGGGGCATATCATATAATAACAAGTGCTTGAAATGCAACAGTAATTTTGTTATAACTTCTCTAAATGTCGGATAAATAAGTAAGAAGCTAGATGTACCATTATGAATATAAATATATATTGTTATAATCTACAGACAGCTATGAACGATTAGTTGGCCGAACAATCATCGCGAAGCTCTAGAAAACGTGATAAAAAAATCAATTGCAAGCTCCTCCCGGATTGTTTACTCTATCGATCCATAGAACGATCGGTCAACGGATTGAATTTAACCTCATAATTATATAACAATAGTGCAAAGAAACTTTGCACTAAAAACTACCAAAAAATGCTCATTACGTCAAATAATAACGAAAAAATGCTAGCATATATAATTGGGAAGTCTGACCACTGAACTAAGACAAAATGGTAGAAAAAATATGAGTAAGTTCTTCCCAAAAGCCCCTCTTCTTCGAACTCGAAATCCTGCCGATGCACCATATTGTTACCCAGAAATAAAGAAAACCGTGTAGCAGGCTTTTCATGTTGTTGCACACTCGCGAACTAGGTTTGGTAATTGGTACTGAACGCCAGCTAGCTATTATAGAATATGCAAATTTCTTTATAGGTGGCTCCCTGCAGGTTTTAGAAAAATGGAAGACTTTCTGATTAGGATATGAATTTATAAACAATTATTATATCTGTTGAAAAACAGAGAGTATCTGACTGGCATATAAAACAAAACTATAGGAATCGGAATTTTAAAAAAATTACTGCTGTCTAGAAATTCATGTCCAATTCAGAAAATTGTTTGAGAAAAAGAAAATATTTTTAAAATGTGTAGGCAGCCATCTCAAACCGCAACATTTACACTCAAACTACAACGACAATTCCTAGACTACCAAAGAACAGAATTAACGTACCTCCCACATGTACGAAGTATCCATTCCGTTGATATTTTTAAATTCAATTTCGACTCCAGTATAAGGGCCGAAACGCGTTCTTTCTGGAATCTTGTCTTTGGCGAAAACTCCTTTTCCCGCATGAGGAATTGAAGAAGGTTTTACACATAAGTTGGCAGGGAGTGTTTTCACTGCGTACTTGGAACCACATTTAGTCTTTGGCGCAGTGTTGGCAATAATCTTAAAGACGTGCTTATCACATTGCGGACCGAGAATGTACTTCTCACATCGATCACATGCAAACTAGAAAATTGAAAGAATATTTTTTAAAAAAAATTCTCTCAAAATGGCCTTATAACAATTATAATAAGGGCCTTCGCTCGAAACGTCGACGTTTTATTTGTAGTCATCATGTCGTCGAATCTCTCTTAATCCGCATTTTTCTGCACACAGCAAAAAATCATTTTCTTATTTTAAGAAAAAAAAAACTTGTTTTAAGAAAATTTTCTTGAAATAAGAAAATATTTTCTTGGGAGAATAACAAGAAAATTTTCTTAATAAGAAAATTTTCTTAAGAAAATTTTTCTTATTAAGAAAATTTTCTTGAGAAAAAATTCTTAAATTGAGAAAATGTTTTCTTATTTTAAGAAAATATTTTCTCAAATCAAGAAATTGTTTTTCTTATTAAGAAAATTTTCTTGTTATTCTCACAAGAAAAAAGTTTTCTTGAAATAAGAAAATTTTCTTAAAATAAGGAAATAATTTCTTATTTTAAGAAAATAATTTCTCAAAACAAGAAATTTTTCTTAAAAAGAATTTTCTTATTAAGAAAATTTTCTTGTTATTCTCCCAAGAAAAAAAATTCTTGAAATAAGAAAATTTTCTTAAAATAAGAAAATAATTTCTTATTTTAAGAAAATAATTTCTCAAATCAAGAAATTTTTCTTAAAAATAATTTTCTTATTAGAGATTGGCAACAAAAATTGCTTCATCTGTCTTATTGCTTCATCTGAAAGAGCATGAAAAAATAAGCCGATTGGCCGTTTAATGCTCTATTCTATCTCATCTAGTTCCGAAGTTATACGCAAAAATGTGAAAATATAAATTGCTGATTCAGCACACGTGTGACGTCATTAGCGGGTAAGTATGTTTATTGAATACTACACTGAAGCATAGCTCAGTTATTATGGGCCCAAATCAAATGAAATTTTGCATACTGATTGTACATGATGAGACGCATGGAAAAACATTTCTAATTTTGTTGCCAAGGTAACAATGTCGTTTCCAGGCCCCTTGCGCCAATTTTATGAAACAGCTTTATTCAAGGTACTGATAAGAATAAAATAGTATCAGAAGTATGTGTATGATACCTATGCATGCCAAAAGTTTACTTGCATGATAATAATTCGAAAATGACATACACATAGTATCATGCAACTAGTTATTCAAAATCAGTGTAAGAGGCCTGGGAACGACTGTGTTGCCTTGACAACGAAATTAGAAGTATTTTTCCATGCATCTCATCATGTACTATCTGTATGCAAAATTTCATTTGATTTGAGCTAATAATAACTCAGCTATGCTTTAGTTTACTATTCAATAAACATACTTACCCAGCTTATGACGTCACAGAATGTGCTGAATCAGCAATTTATATTTTGCACATTTTTGCGTATAACTTCGGAACCAGATGAGATAGAATAGAGCAGTAAACGGCCAATCGGCTTATTTTTTCATGCTCCTTCAGATGAAGCAATAAAATCAATAAAAATTTTTGTTGCCAATACCCTTTAAGAATGTGTTGTTTGGGTGTTTATATGTACAGGTACTCAGGTGAATATTGTTTTTGATGTTACTCTGAGTGTATATGCAGTTAGCAGAGCATTGGCTAGTATCCCAAAGGTTTCGGGTTCGATTCCCACGATGGTCAGGCTAACTTTTCAGCCTGCCCAGTGTGGATATACACTCAGAGTAACATACAAAACGTCAAATTATAGTCAATTTATACAAGTTCTTTTTTCAGCCACTGTTATACAACTAGGTGTAGTTCTGATTGCACAGCAATGTGTTGTAGCAAATTTAAGTTCTCCTGAAGACCTGAAGCAGTAATTTTTCAACTCTTTCCACATGACAAGCAATAGTATCTGACAAACCGTTTGTTCAAAGTTCATAGATTTCTTTATAATGCACACTAGTAAACACTGTTCCAAACACATCATGCAAATGCCACTGGAGATCCATCATATATACATCCTTATACAGCTAGTAATCTGTAAAAGGAAAAGTTTACTTACATATTGAGAATGTAATCATCACTCTAAGTATTATATGTGGTGTATACAGAAATATAAATGAATTTATTAGCGATTTTCAGCAGCCTTTCGCGCTTGTATTCCACTTTTCTGCTTTGCTTGGGGACAACCTTAATTGAAATAGCTATATATACAAAATTGCAAGAACAATAGACCTGGAGACTTGCTTGCTAATCTGAGTCACTCCTCAGTTACCTAAAAAGATTAAAAAGCATAGACGGATTTTGTGGGGGGGGGGGGTGTCCCCCCCCCCAATATTAGCTATAACTCCTCCCCCAAACAAAATGACCACCCCTCCAAAAACTATTTCAACACCCCCACCCCCCAACATTTCGCATAATAAAAATAATTAAATAGTCCACTCCAACATGCAGAGTGTTGATGATATAAAATAAACGTAGGAGTACACTCAAATAGAAAAAGACAGTGCATTCACTAGTTTATTGGAGCAATTGTAAAGTTTTGAAACTCTATTATCTTCCCTGAATAGAGTTTGCAGTGCCTTCTCATGCAAATACAGTACTTAGCTTGCTCGGAAGGAACATTTGGATTTTTTACGAACATTATTTTTAGTTTTTAATTCTTTTAAAAATAGACTTGCCTAGATTTAACCTTTATGCCCCAATTATTATTTACATTGGAGTTGCATCATAAAATGTATTCGGATTCAAACGACACAATGTCAATGACTTTATAAAACTGGTAAAAGCATATTGTGTATTGGCCTATTAGGTTTACATTTTTACAGGTTCATTTAACTTTAACTCTCCCAAGTCTCATCAGACAATCGGACATGCCAAATCCATTGATATGACCACTAAAAAACTGATTTCAAAGCTAGGAATCATGATTTTTTAAAATTTTTCCAGGGATACTTTGTTTTCTGCTCTCTAGACGCCTCCTCACATCTCTAGTGCTCCACCTCTAGAATATAGACCTTACTGGGGTATGGTGACACTTTGTGTTGCTTCAGTCACCTGCTCACGGCTCACCCCGATGTCCTGGATTCAGTCACACAGTTACTGACAGTATAGTTTATTCCGGTTGCTGTCCATGGTTCTTTAAACCAGCTGTATTTATGGAAGCTGGGCTGGACCGCTTAGCGGGACAGCCCGGTAAGCAAGATTTACTGCATTAGGTATATTTATCTAGAAAAAATTATCATGTGTTTATATGGATCCACAAGCAGGTTGGCTCTGATGCCACAATGTTGCTTATCGGGATGAAAATTTCTCCACATATATACACTCACAAGCAGGCTGGGCCAGGATGAATGTTCAAGATGCCGAGCTGCAAGCTATTTTTAACAACTGTCAAAACAATGTCAACATAACAAAATTGTCCCGGCGAGCAGGATGGCATTTTCTCATATAAACACAATCTTGAACTGTATTAGTGATGCACCGATATATGGAAATTCACTGATATTCTGATAATAAAAGACCAATAATTTGCCGATACCGATATTCTATGTCATTTCACCAAATTCAAAGATGACTGATACACCAATATGGATATCGGTACATCAGTAGGCGAGTTACCCGGCAAGGTGAGTTATTCACTCAGGCAGGACAAAAAAGCAGTCTATTTATATGAAATCAAGTTACCCCATGATTGCTGCACAATGACAAAATACAAACACAATTTGGATCATTCAAAAGGTTTAAAAAACATGATTACAAAATATGCAAGAATAACCTGCTAGAAATAGAGGAAAGCTGTAAACATACCTAATGATTTGTATGTATTTTTCGGCTATTATTTTAAATGAAAGGCATATACATTCTATCTAGGGTTGCAGAGTTTCCCGGGTGAAGTATAGTAAGTCGGGAAAACTAAACATTCTCTACAGTAGCCAAGTTATCTGGCAACTGAAGGCAAGTAGGAAAATCCTCTGGCATTAGGCAGAGTAAACAATAGAGTAGGATGCAATTCAGTTATGCAGCTATCAGCTATCTATACACTGAAAATATCAGATTAAATGCTGTCATTCTCCTGTAATAAGTGTAATTCCAATCCTTATTCAAGTATTAAAATGCTAACAGATCTTCAAAAACATCCGCATGTATATCTTATTTCATATCACTATATAGCCTTGAGTCTTGACAAAGGTCTAGCAAAGTGCCAAAGTCAAAGGCAATTTAATATTGTCCAATTGTTAATATTAGTGCGTAAATTAGTATGGAATTCACAACAATAGATTTGAATTTATATTTTAATCTTCCGTCCCTTGCCTGAAAGCAACATTTGCATGTTTTATATGCAAAACGAACGCGGCAAATTCAAACATTCAATGGAATATTTCACATATATATATATATATTATATATATATATAT